AGTACCTTTTAAGATTCTCCTTAAGGTACCTATTTAGAATGTACCATTACTTTCCTGCCAGAAGCATAACTGTACACACACCAGCCACTTGTTTGATTTGAGACAAGTTATCCTCACAAATATACAGAGAGCAAATAAAATTTGAGATACCACACCCATTCTAAATTCTAACCTAAAATCCCACTTTGAAGTCCTATTTTCTATTATATAATACCAAGTCTCAGAGTCTGCAGGAACACAAAAGATGAACATAATGCAACATCATACCAGCAGGAAGCATTACATTCCAGAAAGAACTTTTCTAGTGCCTAAGAACTCATTCTTCCAGAGGAGGAATTCATCTACACACTGGAACAAGTCCTTTAGAATCAACCCAACACCACCATTTTCAAATCCATGTCATTTGTTTTGCGCTCTTTAAGTCCAGACACCCTGTATTTCACAGGATGCATGATTTGGCATTTTACTTACCTGCCCCACTAAGATCAGCATAAGCTCTGTGGCCTTACACCATTACACACTTTGTAAATTGTTTCATTTACAAAATGGTGTAGGGGAGCTGAGGAGTCTGCAAGGTCACTTATATCTCTGATTATCTAATGAAACTAATTTAAGCAGTCAGGAAAATCACTCCTCACTTTAGGCTGGGTGCAGTGGCTGGTGCCTATAATCCTAGTACTTTGAGAGTCGCTTGAAGTCAGGAGTTTCAGGTTGCAGTGAGCTGTGATGACACCACTGTACTCTACCTGGAGTGACAGAGCAAGACTCTGTGTCAAAAACAAAACAAAACATCTTCACTTTGAACTCCTGACTTCACCTGAATCATCAAATTTTACTTTTTTTTTTTTTTAAGAGACAGAGTCTTACTTTATTGCCCTCAGTAGAGTGCCTTAACGTCACAGCTCAAGGCAACCTCCATCTCCTGGACTTAGGCGATTCTCTAGCCTCCTGAGTAGCTGGAACTACAGGTACCAACCACAACACCCAGCTTTCTTTTTTGTTGTTGTTGTTACAGTTTGGCCGGGGCAGGGTTTGAACCTGCCACCCTGGGTATGTGGGGCTGGCGCCCTACTCACTGAGCCATAGGTGCTGCCCACATTTTTTTTTTCAGACAGTCTCACTTTATTGCCATGGTAGAGGGCTGTGGCATCATAGCTCACAGCAACCTCAAACTCCTAGGCTTAAGCAATTCTCTTGCCTCAGCCTCCCAAGTAGCTGGGACTACAGGTGCCCACCACAACACTTAGCTATTTTTTGGTTGCAGCCGTCATTGTTGTTTGGTGGGCCTGGGTTGGATTCGAACCTGCCAGCTCTGGTGTATGTGGCTGGCCCCCTAGCCACTGAGCGGCAGGCACTGAACCCGCCTGGCTATTTTTAGAGAGGAGGTTTCGCTCTGTCTCAGGCCAGTCTCAAACCTGTGAGCCCAAGTAATCCACCACCTCAGCCTCCCAAATGCTAAGATTACAGGTGTGAGCCACCGAGCCCAGCTAAATTTTACCTTTGTTTAGATAGCTCTGACTCCTATCTGACAACATTATTTGAAACTTTCTCTATCCTTTTCAAACTCGAGACCAAACTCCTCTTGGCAGATGACCTTGTTCTCTACTTACCCAGAAGCATCACTTCTTGCCACAAAACCTGCAAATACCCTTACAAGATACATTCCAAGATCTTCAGTAGAAGTCCACACATTCTAGCAAACACTATATATACTGTCCTTTCCTGTTCAGACATACTTCTGATAAAGCTTAACTTATACATTACTCATGGTTAGAGATTAACTGTGATAATTGATAATAAAACAATTACAATATACTAAATAAAAGTTATTATGTGAACGTGGTCTCTCTCTCAAAGTATCTTACTGTTCTGTACTGCAGGTTACTGAAATCACAGAAAGCAAAACTTCAAGTAAGGGGTACTAGGACTACCGCTGCCCTTCCTGCTCTCTTTGCTTTGCTTTAAGCTGCTCCCCCTCCAGTCAAACATCCATTGTTTCTACTGATCTCCTACCTAGCAACAGTCCTCAGTGGAGTTCTCAGGCCCCTAAGGGTCCATAGACCATTTCAGGGTACATAAGGATAAATAATAATTTCATAATTGGACAGTATCACCAGTCCTTTTCACCATGTTGACATTTGCACCAATGATGCATAAGCAAAGATGGATAAAACTGCTGGTATCTTAGCATGGATCAAGGTTAAAAAAAAAAGTCAAGTTTCATTTTAAAATGTCCTTAATGAAGCAATAAAAATATAAATTGTATTGGCAGTGCCTGTGGCTCAAAGGAGTAGGGCACCAGCCCCATAGGCCGGAGGTGGTGGGTTCAAACCCAGCCCTGGCCAAAAACTGCAAAAAAAAAAAAAAAAAAAAATATATATATATATATATATAGAATTGTATTAAATCTCAAAGTGGGTACACATAAAGCACTTGTGCACATACTATAAAAATCCACAGATGTGGCTCGGGGCCCATAGCACAGTGGTTAACAGCACCTGCCACATACACTGAAGGTGGCAGGTTTGAACCAGGCCCAGGCCAGCTAACCAACAATGACAACTGCAACAAAAAATAGCCAGGCATTGTGGCAAGTGCCTGTAGTCCAGCTATTTGGGAGGATGAGCAAGAGACTCTCTGGAGCCCAAGAGTTGGAGGTTGTTGTGAGCTGTGATAGCACAGCACTCTACCAAGGGTGACACAGTGAGATTCTGTCTCAAAAAAAAAAGAAATGGCTTGGCACCTGTAGCTCAAGCAGCTAAGGTGCCAACCACATACACCTGAGCTGGCAAGTTTGAATCCAGCCTGGGCCCACCAAACAACAATAATGGCTACAACCAAAAAATACCCGGGTGTTGTGGCATGCACCTGTAGTCCCTGCTACTTAGGAGGCGAGGCAGGAGAATCGCTTGAGCCCAGGAGTTGGAGGTTGCTGTGAGCTGTGATGCCACTGCACTCTACCCAGGGCAACAGCTTGAGGCTCTGTCTCAAAAAAAACAAAACAAAAACAAAAACCTACAGTTGTCTCGAGAAAA